ATATTTCCTTGGTTTAATTAATCTAGCCAAATTTTTTATTCACGCTACTGACTGCACTGACAGAATATCGCAGATGGCTTTTTGAGTTTGCAGAATTTGCATTGTATCAGTAACATTTGCGTAGAATATACTCGGTAAATTGAAACGACGCGGCTTGCAGAAGCTACGCTAGCAGCTTCATCCCACCGAATTCCTATCTTATAAGTAGATCCTGAAATGCCCTCTCGTTGTGTCAGCCAAACCTTTTATAATTGCACAGTTTGATTAAACTTCCTATTTTTTATCCCTAAATATGTAAACGTTGTCAGAGTAAGAAGTTAATTAACCCCAAGGACGAATCTTGTTTATTGACAAAGGTCTGCTCAAACCGCCGTTTTAAGGCATGCGTCTTTAACGCTTGTGTATGTTTCTTGGTGTAACTTGAATCACCCTGTTTCCTGTAATCACGTAATATTTTTCAAATCTATTTACCGCATTCATAATAAGGATTTCTATTTGTTCAGTAGGCCACCTTGTTTGTCGATATCTTTTAAATTTTATAAGTGACCCACAAATCACACTTTTGGTTGTGTCAGTAAATACATGGTAGCTCGCCACCATGGGAAGTGGATGTATGCGATTTCTGAAGTGAGTAGCAAATGAGGAACAAACTACCAAAGGCTTGCCCCATGTTATTTTTTCATGGGAGTTCATGCATGATAAGAACGCAAATTTGGCAACATCCAACATCACACCTGAGACTTTTGAACTGCGATCCGACTCGAAAGATTTCCGAAGTACTACCGTAGAAGGTATTTGCGTACCAATGGTGTGTGCATTGTTGGCGGGCTCCCAGATTCCACAGGTCAATTCAATTCTAGAGCCCAGGTGTTGGAATATGTGCCAAGCGACGGCATTTCCAGACTGTACTTAGAAAGCGGAGAAAATAAGCCTCTTTCTGGAAATGGACTTTTCACAACCCCCATTCATACGACCCGAATAAAAAGTACACTTGCGTCATGCAAATCTTTGGTTCCATATGGTATTTTGTCCCGAGTGGCACTAAAGGGAAGGTCGAGAACGTGGCAACTGCATCGTCGACCCAGAGGAAACTGTGGCATACCACTTAGATATGGCAAACAGTGAATCCTTAACATATGGTCTTTGTTCACATTTTTCGTGTTACTTAAACGTAGTGTCAATTTCAGGGAGAGTTGGCTCATGAGTAGAACTGATTTCATTTTATCTGCACGTAGCTTCGTACAGATAAACGAATTCTATCGATTTTGCTGTAAGGGCGGGGCCTTGGGGGTAAATTTTAACTTGGGTTTAGGTATAATGAGGCGCCACACTTATTCCGGTGGTCTTTTGACAAGGAGTTTTAAGATCCTGGGATTTTGATTTGCTGTATCCAAGCTACTGACTAAGAATATTAAATCAGCTAGAAACACTTAAAAAGCAATGCGTTCTTACCATGCCTTGTTCATCAAGCATCGTCGCATTATAGTAAAGCTTCACAAACAAGCTAACGAGGAATATTTTCCTCAAGTTAAACAGCAAAATATAAATTAATCGGAGTTTTTATACCCCTACACGAACAAACCCATCTTCATTAGTATAGAATCTTGATAATTATATCAGATCTGCTTTGTAATGACATAATTAACGGTTTCCTGTGTGTGCGTCACACGTGTGAACTACCCTGTCGTCATAGATTTGAGTGGTGGGTTGTCTTGCGTAAAACATCGTGTAGTTGATGTGTCAGCAGTCTTGAGTTTACATTTCCTAGTCTTGCCTGGCTACTTTTCCGACGCCAATTTGCCAACTCACGGATTCCTCCAAATTTGCACAGATGAGGTTGAAGAAAGCCACGCGAGAGAATGACCACGGGTGATTTCTTCCGTCAGGCATTTTCTCTGATTTTGTGTGAATTAGCAATTCCAACTTGAATGACCACTTGGAATGTTAGTCGGATCATATAAGTTACGCCTGGCTGCGAAATGGACCATCTTTGTTGACACTCGTTCCACCAACACTGCTGATCTTACCGATCAAGTCGCCTCAGAGCACCGCAGCTGCAATAACCTTGGTTGAATCGTATGCTTAAGCTGAATAAGATTTGGTAAACCTATTTCCTGCTATTTTGTGCAGAAGGTGACAGACGTGAACGTCCCAGGTAATTGCAGAACTCGGCTTTCCTACAGACCTTATTCAGTACCAGTGTAGTTGAATGTCCCAAAATTAAATGCGTTTGTGTTCTAGTAAAAATACTGACTCTTCGTTAGTTCGGAAAGTAGTAAGAAGATGTTTCTGGTTGGAAGTACAAACGTAAAGAGAAACTGATTCGATTGGTGTTTTTTATTCTTTCAAATGCGCCCAATTTCGTCAAGACGGCAATTCAATGCGCAGCCTCTCGCCAACTTCGCAAATTCGTAGACAAAATTAAAAATGAGGATTTTCCCGAATGTTAGTTTTACTAATTTGGAATTCCAAGCCTCAAACAACGGAGAAATAGACAAACGCGTTAGAGGCTGTGCTAGCTCTCCAAAATTTTATGCACTTGGTTCTACAAACTCACTTTGTATGCCGCATATTTAAAAGAAAAGTGTTTGAGTTTGCACGAAGTGTCTAAATTTAATACGGTGTCCAAAAACTATGCTCTTGTGGGCGAACATTACGTGGGTTAGAAATCAAGGCCAATTTCAGTATCCTGCTAGTGACTAGTCACTTTTCATGTGAGAGGTTTGCAAAGTTTTGGGAGTGTTCAAATGGGCTATGAGGGAAATGTACGCCAGATTTAAAATACGACAATTAAATTCGGTTGTTATTATGGGGTCTTTGCTAGTGGAATATGCTGTGGGTGATAGGTTACGAGGCCAGTGCATATCCTTTTTCGTGGTAATGCCCTATAGCTAAGCTTCAGCCACAGGATGTGACTTGAAGTAATGCATCTGTATATGAAATTCAATGGACATATTTATCCCCAAAGTACGTTTTTTATAAGACATTAGGCAGTAGTCCGATTTTTTACCCTCAAACACGACAGCAACGTCTGTGGTGTTTGTTGCCAAGATTTCACCCCGCACACCACACATCCATTCCATAACATCGTCGAGCAAATGTATTGTTCCAGACAAAGTTAATGAAAACACGCCTGTCGCCGGTTCATACCTTTTGATGCAGTGGCTTATGTGGCAAATGTTTGCCAGGGGTGTGTCTTGTAGGCAAATGTTTTAAAGGTCTAAACCTATATTACAAAACCCTCCTAACTTGGGGTTAATATTTTCCGATTAGGGTGTTTTGTCGATTAGAGCCTTTGTTGTTTAAAATGTCAATAGGCTCAAGTATTCGAAGGATTTTTTGCGTGAATGAACATGCCTTGGGTTCAGGGCTTACGTCCCTGCAGTCCTTACGGTACTCAACTACTCCGAGTTTGATGGGCATTTCTTGAAAGTAGTAATAGTCAATTATCGTCTATTTTTACTAATCCACCCAGTCTGGCTGTTGTTGGATTAGCCGCATTTCCTTCAAGGTAGCTATTGGTTAAGCACTAAAACTCTTTAGATAAGTCGACCTGAATTTGTGCTTGTTTTTAACAGTCAAGGTATGTGTGTTTGTCATCATTTTTAGACGTATGTCTGCAATTGCGCTTAGTGTTGCATTCCTAAAATTAGGTTTAAATCGGACTGCCACGGCGAGACCCAGGTTTCGCAAATCAAAAGGGCATCTATTCTAAGAAAAGAGTTAGCAACCCATTTCTGTAGACGAACTGGAACTTGAGGCTTGTCTTAATTTCGCACAGAGTGCAGTCAACGTTATTTGGCTCTTTTAGTTTTAAACAACTGCTTAACATTCAAACACATGAATTGCTGTTTGTAGGAAAACTGTGGTCTTCACACAGCTAGGGTTCTGGCGTGTAGAACACTGGTGGGTGGTTTTCCTTGGGCCCGTACATCTGGGGCGGAAATTTATGCACGCAAATTTGGATTATTTTCAAATCCCACAACTTCAGATCCAGGTGGCTGGTCTAAACGAAGCAAATGTGCACTATTTTGGACCACCCACCCGGTCAAATTAGGGGTCACGTCTGGAGATCGAATTATCCCTTAGAGGTCAATTGAATATCTGGTCGAATTTTAAAAGGTTGCGTATTATGAGATAGCAGAAATGTCAGTTATTTTCGATAGAATCAGGAGGGTGCCAGAATGGAAGTGCTGGATGTTTTCAAATTCTACCCGTGCTGTAGTGTGACTTGCCTCAGCGGTGAGGGTTTTCTCAAAGAATTTGGGTTGTGTTGTTTTTGCGGTGGAATCTGTGGTAAAAGAGCTTTTAACTGAGCTGTGTAGTAAGTTTAGAATTTGGCCTCAATTTGATGTAGCTGATGGAAGCCAGCAAAGTAAAGGGAGATTTCTTTACGTAGTTGGTGACCATGGCTGCTCTCCACCAAACAGCACACTTTAGAATTAAGTGCACTGGGCAGTTAAAACAAGCCGTAAGTTTACATGCAAGCATCCCAAGGCGCTTCTTTTGGTGTCTTTCATAGGTCAGACCTCGTGTAGTGAAAAGATAAAAAGTAAAACACAACAATTTGATTGGTGGTACACCGTGTTCGTCTGTAGCAGTCACGTTTATGCAATAGTAGTACGGATTTGTGGGCTTGAATTCACATATAGCCAGCTCTAATAAATGTAGCCACCAAACAATGTCCCAGTGTAATCACCACTTCTGTGTTTCTGGATCCACCTGGCTTTTAATTGTGACTACAACAAGGAACTTTTTGGGTTGCTGGTTCGCCTTAAAAGGAGTCCCCATGTACACCTCCAGAATTACCTTAATGATAAGTTTACATTATGGAAACTAAATACTGGTACCACTCAAACACGCATTCTGGTCGAAATTGGAAATTAGCTTCATTCCTATCATGTGAGTTATGGGAAAGCCATCAACCGTCTTCTCAAACAGACACTGATAATCGCCTTCTAGTGTTGGCCTAAGTCTGTGTTATCAGTGCAGCTTGACAGATGGTCATTAAGGATGTCTCCTGCAGGGATCGACTCTCGGAGTTTTGCTTACTCCAGCTGTTCTTCGGTTCCAAAAGTGACCGTGGCTTTCGTTTCTTAGCTGTGATTCCGACGCTAAACTGAGACTGTACTGACAATTCTGGTGCTTAATGAAGCGGGAATCTACGCAAATTCAAATGGTACTGGAGTATGCACTGTTTGGCTTCATACCACAACAGTGTTTTTGTTGAAGCACCATGTGGAAAAATAACACACAAGTGTGAAATCTCTTGCAACATCCCAACTAGAGATCCTGCAAGTTTTATGAAAGTTAACCAATAAAGGATAAAATTTAGCGGTTCCTTGATGAATTATTCAGTCCTCAGTGAAATACCGAAGACATTACGAAAGACTTGACAGAACTAGGCAATAGGTTTGCCAGCATAGGCAAGTTTTGGGTAGTGTCGGACCCAGGCGGTTAATGGTCTCGAACGACAGAATAGTCGGTGAAGCTGTCACGTGTACATTTGGCTTCGCGTCACCTTAATAAACACTGGTAATTGTTAAGGTATCCAGCGAATCCGAGGCCTGATTATTTTCGTCTTTCACCCGATTTCTTGTGCTTAGTGCGTGGTAGTGTTCTTGAAATTCACCCTAGTCGCAAAAAATGTGTTAAACAGAAATTTTCCATAATTGTATCGATTGGTAATGAATGCATCACCGTATGCCAATTTTGTGTCAATATAGAAGGTGGAAAACGGTTTTGGTTGTTGATCGCTTTCATGTTTCGTGTAGTCACACCCTTGTTGTCTTATTCAGTATTTCAAAAACAATACAAATCACCCCAAATCAACAAGGGTATATTTGAGCTTCCTAGGTGCGAACTTGTAGGATTGAAATTGTAATATCCTAGTCACGGCGCAAAACATTTGCATGCTTTCTTTGTTGATTGTGGATTCCAAAATCTCAGCAACAAAGGGCAAAGCGCCCACCATTTCCCTCAAGCGCTTCTTTCCAGCAGTCAGTAGGCACGTCTTCATTGCAAAAGTAACTTGTCACCCCACGATGCTGTTGCGTTTCGATACATCAATGACTGTACTTGATGAGCCCAACACTACGTTCACGTTTTTTTCCGATTTTCGGTATGGTAGATCATAGTGATACAAACAGGCGTCGGGTGGCATTGTAAAGATTTGACTTGACCGTGATTGCTAATGGGCCGGAAGCGGGGTTTTAGTTCTGCTTTCTTCCTCGGCTATTTCTGCAGACCTATGTGGCGACGCGGTGGAGCTTGGGAACGAGAAAGTAGCTTTGGCGGTGGTCAGCAGTAATGCGGAATGTGAAATGGCAACCACTCGTCCCGTTCGACTCCGCAAGCTACCGGAAGTGTTACAAACAGGATTGCTTCGAGCTGATTGGTCCCTTGAGAACGGTGGTCGGAACATGGGGGGGGGCGGTCGGTCGCCAGTCAACAGCATAACAGTACATGGGGGATCGAGACGCGACCTTATGACTTTGGGAGTAAGCCTCGACCTGTGTGGACCCCACTTGAGTGTTGGTACTGTGGTGCGAAAAGCATACGAAGATGTAGATCTTTGGTAGAGAGGAACTTTATTGCAAGGAGAGACGGGTTGCGAGGTTGTTAATCGAAGTCGTCATTTGTAGCTTTAATGCCACCTGTACAACTCCGTTCTTCGTCATCCCCAGCAGAACCAAATTGATAAGTGATAGCAAGCGCAAGAGTATATTTGAGTAATGCATATTTTAACTTTTTGTGGCAGTGTGTCAGAATGCACTTGTGCCAACTGTGTGATTAACATCCAAAGTATTTAACACATCAATTAATCAGGCTTTTTCGCCAGACTTTAATTAGAAATGATTTAGTCGAAGTTACGATCAGACCGCTCATGTATACAGTCGTGAAGTTTCCCTAAAACATTTAACCTTGAAGTGCTGCTATCTAAAGTATGTAACAGTTCTCCACAGGTCGAAAGAAACTTCCTGGGATTTTGCAGGATTTCGGCATTTTGAGGGGCAAAGCCACAACTCTTGAGATGCGCTTTGTGCTAAGTGATCTCGGATCCACTTTAAGCAGTATAACCAACTTCCACTGTGCCTAGTAATTGCATCCTACACGTGTGTGTGTGTGTGAAGAGCTTTTTAAGTTAGTGTTCTGCGTTGATGTAATGTGCTGTGTGATCGTTTTTGGTCAAAGCAAGACTAACGGGCTAGGATAGCGTAGGTTTGTGTGAGCGCGCCTCTTCCAATGTCAGATGGACCCAATTTGCTCGATCCCTTATTGCATATCCAAACAGCGTTTCTACATCTACAGACCGTGAAAATTCCTACCGACCCACATGGATCACAGTTGTCCATATCAATCACATGAATTAAGGAACTAAGCGATTTTACTGGCACAGGGTAGAAACTGCACGACTGTATTAACGACTGATTTGTCTGCTCTGTCGTTATCATTCGCGTGTAATCTAGCTTAAACGCTACTCTTGCCTGTGGCAGTTTGCCGATTTCACGTCTTGCTAGGAACAGAATCCTTGATTAAATTGTGCGTTTCTGGAAAAAGAAAGTACGCATGAGTCTTGCAATAGATGACGATCAAAGCTTTGCTGTGAGTTGATAGCCCTTGGTTTATAATGATAGAGTGAAGTTTCTTCAAAGAGCCAACATCGAGGCAATATTTTTCCTTGTGATGGCCATTAAACCTCTGTGTTATTAATTACTGCCGGAAGTTAGCAATTATATGTGATGCATTATTGTGAGGCCCTTTGTTCACTCGAAATAAATCGTTCCAGCATCCCAAATCTAAATCAATATTCTAAGTACACAGAGAACCACTTTCCTCCCAAGACCACACTTGGACGTCAATTAATGTTGGGAGGGCACTGCAACTTTACTACTGAAATGCCCGTAGCTAAAATTTGGTTATGTTGCCATCAATTATGAAATTGCTTGTTCCGTGATGCCATCCATTAACAATTGTACTTACTGGAAGCTCCGTATTATGCATGACTTTCAACTATGCCCGACTCAGTGGAGACAGTTTGGAGTTACTGGAAGAACTAATCTTGCTTGTAAAGGCATTTCTCATCTTCTGTCTTTGTTTTTGCGGTCATAAATTCGAATAATTTGTTGAAAGTGAATGAATCCCATTGGTATTTTTGTGGCTGGAAGGCCAAGCATTTTTTTCTGAAAAAAAAAGAACTAGTGCAACCCTAAGTGTACATAGCCGTCACCGCAACAAAATCAACCAAAATAGTGCACATTTTGTGTTAAAGTTCAATAACACAAAAAAATTTGTACGAGTTATGTTGAAGCCGATTTGTTTGAACGTAATCGTGGTATGCATTATGGATGTCCAACTAAACCCCGTGAAAACACCAAACCGTAGATCCATCATTTACTGCTGTTACTTTCAAACGTTTTGTGAAGATTTTTGAATGCATTTTAATTCGAAATAAAGCAAACTTTTAACGGGTATTTTTTTGCTGGCATGACGAGAATCAAACAGCTACAGATGAGCAGCTCACTGCTTTACATAGACTTTAGCCATTTGGCATTCCTGTTTTAAAATCGAGATTCCAACTAACCAATTTATCAACGCCCCAAAAGCCACTTGAAGTTCTTGTGTTGGGATTTTAGAGGACGCAACTGATGTTTGGTAAAATCCACACAACTATCATCGGTGAGAATTGGTACACATTTAAATCATTGCAAACCGATGGCATCAATTCGAGAAACGACTTCCTGTTGCCACCTTCCGAAAGAGGTTAATGTTATGGGCTTAACTTGGAGCTACGTCTAACTGGGTCTTGATGACTACAAGTGGGCAATCTATTGAAGCGTATTTTGTAGTTTTAGAACTTTCCGAATTTGGAAAGGGCGTTTCCAAATGTATTTTCTGACATGAAAGTCATTAAAATGGCGGCGACTATTACCAGCAATCAGAAAATTTCCCCTTTTTAAGAACACGCGTTCACACGGTGAAGACAGGCTTTTGATTTTGTCAAAAACCCCTATGTAGGACAGAAAATAAAAGGATATTAGCAAGAGATAAAATATATTCCCGGATATTGAAAAAATTGAAATCCAGAAAATCTAGGAAGGTATATATAATGTTAAAGGAGTGAAAAACAGCAATGGCATAATTGTCTAGACGCCATTTACGCCAATTATTGTAAGCTGTTCCTAACGGGGTGCAAAAAAGGACAGCAGACAGATAATTGTCTAGACGCCATTTACGCCAATTATTGTAAGCTGTTCCTAACGGGGTGCAAAAAAGGACAGCAGACAGATCTTAAAAGGAACTTCAAATGCACATCCGGTAACCTGGTACAAATTGTTTCGTAATATGAGCGAAAAATCCAAGAAAGTCGTTAATTAATGTGCGCAATAAGAACAATTTTGTTTGAATTTTCGAGCGCATTTCCTTCAGTTGATTTTAACTGGCTTTTTTTCTAAAACCATGACTTCACGATGTAGAATACGCTTTCATTCATGTCCTCTTTGCACGACGGTTTGATGGGGTTTACTGGAAGCTAAGTCCACCTAACTCGCATTAACAGGACATCAGGGGTTGGTGACATGTTTTGGATTGTGAGGAGGCGTGTTATCTTGGTTAACACATCCAGTTGGGTGGCGGTTGTGGGTGTCAGTTGTGTGGAAAAGTGAATGCATAATTCCCAGGTACGCAGAGCAGTCGAAGCTGCCACGGAAGAACCTACGCGGAGGTGACTCACCACAACACATAAAGTCCGTCTGAGCCATTAAGCTCCCAGAACGGTTAGTGTGACAGGCGAATTGAGGAAGTGCTGAGAGTGTTTCCGCTAAAGTCGGCGGGTCTTTGTAGTGTGTCAATTGGTGGGGTTCTTGAGCGTCGCTTCATGGTCGTGGAAGTAAGTGCTGTGAACGGTAGATCATACGGAGTGTACAATGCGTGGGTGGCTGACTGAGCATTCTGAAGACAGTTATTTTGGTAAAATGGCTTTCGTAATTGTTGGTGTTTGTTGAACAATGAGTGCATTTTAGTGTGTGCATTTAGTGTTCATGTGAACTGGGTCAGGTCAAGCACGTAAATTGCACGAACAGGATGGTGAGGAAATGTGAAGAGTTGGAGTTAGGTGCAGGTGTCACTGTGTTTCTTGGTTTTCACTTTAAAATCATTGCGTTAGATTTGTGGATCAGTAGTCTCTCAGTAGATTGACCAATCGTGTGTCTTGGTGGGTTTTGAACGATGCCCGTTATGCACTTGTGTTGCAATGGAGAGAGAATGATGAGTAAATATGGTTCGAGAAGCATGTTGGTGGAGACATGGATGAATTCGAAATGGGACGTGCAAGCTAGCCGGAAGGGCCATTGGTGAAGTTACGTGAATTGGTGATCGTCGTTGATTGTGAGGTACTGCTTGGTGGTTAGAGAATGTGTTGTGATGTGGTGTGGTGTAGAATGCGGTGTCCTTACTGCCGTATTATCAACCGAGTGAATGCACTATGTGCGTTTTTGAATCAGTTCACCCCCATATTGTAAGTGTTCAACTAGTGTGCGAGCCTGGGTGTTTATTGTTTATTGTAATCAGGTTGGAAAGATGTGAAATCGTGGTCAGATGGGAAGCAAGACTTACCCTCCGAACTGGCAGATCTCATGCACTTCAATTATACGGAAGGATTTTACATTTTTCTACATTATCTAGAGTTCTTAGACACCACTTATTGTAATCATTCTGATCCATAATTGGTCGATAGATAGCTTTGCACAACTTGGCTTCCACTTTCTGTGCCACACTTCTTTGCACGAGTCTCAATTCTTGTTCTTCGGGCTTAATTGGTTTATTTAATAAACTTTGGTATTGTCTTACTGAACATGTAATATCTCTGCAGCCGTTTTGTGTCCATTGCGTATCAAAGTTAATCACTCTTACTTTCTGTATTGATTCCACGTGGTCGTCCTCAATGTTAAATTGACTTACAGCATCGGCTATCAATTGAACTAGCTTAAAGCAAACGATAAAGTGCGAAGGAGAATGCATTACTGCCGTTAATATTTCTCAGTGCATTTTGAGTCCCTTAATTTTATGACATGCAGCAGTTTGGGCTGTATTTTTGGACTCGAGTCTGGTCCACGTCTCTCGCCGCGGAACCCACCGATCATGTTTCAGTCAGCTTTTAATGCTTCCTCACCTGTCTTTGGCAAAGCCTTGATAAAAGTCACTCGAGTTTTTTAACCTGATGCACTTGGTTTTCGGAATTACGGCTTCCACCAATAGCCATCTACTGTTCTTGTCAGTGACCTTGACTATAATGCATAGGATTTGAATACCTCAAAGACTTTTGGGTCTTCCGAACTTCACCAACTCATGATAGACTCCACCCAAGTCTGCTTACGAGTGTGTTATGCTTGGCCTACAGACTTTTTTCGCTACGTCTGTGATGATCCCTTCTGCGAGATATTTAGAAGCATAGTCTCTGTGTTAGGCGCTAGTTGATTCGAAGAGACAGTGGAACAAGCGAGAAGATTGATGTAGTCCTGTTAGTTTAGCTGTTGTACCATGTTTTTTTGATTGTGAATGAGTGGTGCCCAATGAAATAGGTGATTCGGAGTGACTAGTAACATGCATAATTTTGTACATTAAATTGAAGTAAACTCAAAAAAACCCAGAACACTTTTTGCAGTTGGCTCTTCATTTTTCATATTCGAGACATTCACTACGTCACGTGTAACCGTATGGGAGTTGGGCGCTGATACCCTGATCGCGCGTCATCAAAAAGTTATAAAAAAACAGCTGCCTTAGCAAACAGACAAAGATAGTCTACCATGTGGAATCTTATGAACGGGGACGAGGAACCGATTGTGCTTTAGGTGTCTGTTCCCCTTCTGCTGACATCTGCTCGAAGCTTTGTCGTGCTTGGCTTCCAGAGGCGGATGATGGGGTGAAATAGAAGACTGCTGCACAAATTAACCTCGGTGAAAACTGTACAGTGCCCGCCTGCCGTTGAGAACGCCATGCCGTGGTGTCGTACTGTAGACCCGAAGACTCTGTGACCAGCGAATTTCATCAGAGCCTGTGACCTCTTGGCTAAAATCATCGAGAAGCTGGAATGTATTACGCTGCGTCAGTGAACATATCTTCTTTGAGTCACCATTAGGTCTAATACGAGACAAATTGGCTATCCGTGGCATTTCAGAGCCGATTTCTTCAATGTGGTGTAGAAAATACTCTCATTCATCACCAATTTCAAACATCCGCTTCATGTTCCATTAAATTGCCCGTCCTTATGTCAGATGATCACAGATCTGAGAACTGGTCTAGGCTGTTCTCTCCACGAGCATCATCAGTTGCCGTTACTCTATTAATGTTTTCCATTTTTTCCACGATGCATCAAATAATTGAATCGCATTCGGTCACTTATACGGCATTCGCTAATTATAAATGCTGGTTACGTATGCTTATCTTCCAGGTTTCATTATAAAGTAGTCCCCAGTTATAACACTGAAAGCAGTACACAAATTTCGCACTTAGGTTATTTCAAACATCTGGAATCAGTAACGTGAATCTGGATGTCACGTAACCATGTTACGAGTTGCTGGTTCCTGCGTTAAATAGTTACGGACACCAGAATTTTCGTCTAAGCCAAAGATTTACTCAAAGGAAGGCTAGGCTATAAATTGATCATTAGTCATTTTATTCACCAGTTTTATCTAGCTCATTTAAAAAAAACACCTTTTTTAAAAGCGTGTCCGCTCCTAGTTGCTTTCCTAGATTTTCACTATGGGCCAGTTCTTATCTTCTGTTCTGTGTAATTAAGTAATTAGAATTGGCACATTACGGAAGATTTCGTAATGGCGGGAAATAAGCACACCACTGTGCAAATTTCTGCGTTCTTCCTAATCCCTGCCGTCAGATAATGCGTCTGCTAATTGACTGGCATTAGTAGTAGGTCGAAGTGTTTTAAAAAGACGTAAATGTAGGAGATAATAACCATGCAAACAGCACATCGCACGCCTGGCACTATTCTCCGTCTTTCCCGTAAAAGGCGATGGGTAATTGGAAGAGAAGTACTAGCATTCGTTCGCAGCACACACACGGCGTATGCACTCCTACTAATCTTACTAAACACCGTTGGTCTCATCGACTTCTTCTGGTTACACGGCAGACCACATTATGTTGCCTTTTTTGCAACGAAAATCTGGGACGCGCTGATGAAATGCTAATGAGCTTGAGCGATTTGTACCGAACTGAAGGACGTCAAGCAAGCACTTGATAGCTAAAATCCAGGTAATTTGTGCTTTACCGTCTCAGCCTACGCAGCACTTGAGTGTTGTCTATTTAAGGGGACCGAAATCAATAAATGTGTTGTTTTCTTAAAAGGGAGAATTCTCCTCTTCGCTCAGACCATGCCCTCTGTCACCGTCTGTCACAATCGAAACCCTGTTTGCCTAGAATGCCTTAGTGGTAGATCCCTTATTTTTTCTAGCTTGGCAGATCGAAACTCATTCACGTCATTGGTGTATTTGGAAAACCAAATAATTAACTGCACTGTTTCTCACATTCTGTTGACATTTTTTGAATCATAGAATGAAACCCGAAGCTTGTAAAACGCTATTGGCGAATTTTCTCCACAAGTTGTTAAAACATAAGGTTTTTTTACTCATGGAAACATCATTACGTTCCAGGAAAAGTTTTCCTGCTTGGTTAAGTTGACTAAAGTCCCTTCTGAGCTCGTGCTTAATATATTTGCGGCTTTTCTGAGCAGTCATCACTCATTTCTCTGACAGATCTTGATGAAATAAGGCTAAATAAGTACCACCAACTGATTTGTCAGTAATACTGTCATGTTTTAGGTAATGCCATTTGGCTCAGCACTTAGACATCTAAATAAATCAGAAGCACGATTTTCTTATCGTCTCTTATGTAAATGACAAGGCCCAGGCCGGTAGTAAACGCTTTCAGAAAGTGTTTGTGAGTAGGTACCATGGCCACCCAAATGTCGAAGACTGCAGATCCCATAAAATATTTCGTTTTTCGCCAATAAAGCAGCAGCATCACCACTGACCTTAACTGCAATACGCAACAAACAGAGAAAACAGAGTTTGTGTGGAATCCTTATTTCACATTAACTACTATATATTCCCTGCAATAAATGTCAAGACTACATCGTGTTCTTTTACGCAGCAGTTGCACTTACTGCCTTTCCACATGGCACAGCAGTTTGGAGAGATTTCCGCTGAAAGAGAATTGGCGCTTTAATCAAAATGTCGTGTATGGTATGCGTTGTGGGATTTAATTAAGCCTGCTTGTCTAATCGCGTTTCTGCATAATCCGATATTTGGACTTGAACAGCAGCCCCCTTCCCACTAGCTATCCAAATACCAAGTACTTATTTTATTGGATTACTTGACTTTATGAACCGCTTTATAAAAGAGTCGGTGACATCCCAGCCAGTACCTGCGTTGAGTTTTAAATTATGAAAACGCCACGCAAAAGTATGCCTCCAGACATCGCCAGGCGTTCTGGTGTTTGAAACAATGGGGTTTCTGATCATCAGAGCCAAAGGAAAGTTGTGCACTAATTTTAATCTGAGTTCTATCTTCGGGAAAGGTATGATATCGGACAGGTGCATCCACTTTGAATGGAGAAGGGTGCACTTCCTCAGTCTTTTTTGTAACACGGGAAAGTGATATTAATCTTATTTACAAGAGACGTATGCTATGAGTGACAGTTTCCATTCGCCTCCCATTTCGGTTACCCGGAGTTTACATTGATGAATTTTGGCGACCAACACTGTTGTCTGGACGAAATCAGACAATACTGAACAAGGCCACTACCTGTCTTACAGTTTTGTCTCATTTTCCACCCCTTTGAAGGCTCAAAAAATGCGTTTGACCAGTAATGAGGCGTTTTTGTGTCACCTTGTTAACTAAGCCCAATGCCTTTATCCTGTTCTCTCTTCTTTTTACTTGGGATTCCTGGACTACCTGTCCTGTTACCACTGCCTACCAATCAGATCAGGTCTACTCGTCAAATCGGGAGAATTTTTTCGGCCCCATTTTATAGTAAACGTGTCAAATTGTTGAAAATCAGTCACAGACATTAGCAAGGTCAAGGAACACCACAGAAGCGCGATGAGGGAAAAAATTCACACTCCAGTTATCTTTGTTTTTTCGTCAAGCTTGCAACAATTAATGATTTAATACTCCTGATTTATAACCTTTTTGCTGATCCGATTTAGCCACATAAGCTTAGATTTTCTAATTACTGATGCCTCATGGTTTTCCTTATGGCTATATTTTGAGTTTTGCACTTTCGTTTATACATCAAGGTTCACATATGTTAAATTGACTTAAAGTGATTTTGTGGAAATATTTAGTTTCATGTCTTCTTTGCCGGATAAATCAGGGCTATTTGTTGGTTTTCCAATTGACAAAGATACGTAACATGCCACCTTGTAAAGGGGAGGGTTTTCTGAAGAAAATGTTACCTCCAAGATAGCAATCTGACCTCATTTTCAACTGATTTCTTCCGCCACTTCGTGAGATTACTATAGCCGTGTGTAGCAAACGTTATTTTCTGCTATACCAACTGACGACTGACAAGTACTTGATTATGCGACTATGCCTGATTTTCAAGTGGGCACAGATTTTCTCCAAATAGGTAGGTAGGGAGACATGCAACAGAAAACAGTTCCCTCACTCTGAAAAGAATCCGATGCAACCAGTATTGACCTAGGAGACTAGTTTGTTGTCGCGTTAAGTCTTAAAACATGTGCAATCATCCCCATTGTAGACGCTTATTGTTGATTTCTTCAGGCACAGTCCCTCCGCCGACGCAGTTACTGACCATTGACGACATCTTCCTGAAGGAGGACGAGCCGCCTCAACTGGAGGTGCTAAGAACACACCTGTTCGGGGAGGGCCGGTTGACGGAAAAAGCAGCTCTCAAAATCATTGAGGAGACCGCTGCCATCCTAAAAAGTGAAAACAATCTCATAGAACTGGAAGCTCCCATTACCGGTTTGTAGTAGTTAACGTTAAAGTTGTCGTTTTTTAACATGATTGCTCACGTGTTTTTGTGTGTGTGCTGCAGAATTGGCTGTTAGAATTGTCACTCGAATTCGAGGACACGCAGGATGTAATGCACAAACCGTACACCCATAGGATGGAGTTTGAGAGCGCAAGTTCACTGGTCAATTAATCTGTCTATTTTCACTGTGTCGACTCGTGTCGTCCATCGCTCTGTCCCGTGCGCCCATCAGTTGTCACGCTGATCACGGGAAGCGGCGTTGATCACTTGGCTGTGCTCGTGAGACCAGCAACGTGGGCACAGTAACCTTCAGCTGCACCACCATGCTATGCCCCAATGTTGCCGAGCCGAACGCAAATCGCTTGATTAAGGTCGTTCCCCACATAAACCTAGAATACGTGTTTGTGGTGCTCCAGGCAACATTTTGCGCGATAATGCGATATCAAGAATAACTGCATTCCTCCAAATGATAATGAGCGATTTAGAATCTTTCCACTGGTCAGCAAGAACTTGATGGTCCAATGCCCGTAGGTATACCTTTTGACAACTTATTTAAGCGAGTGAAAGTCATGTTATTCGACTCATAAATAATCTACGCACACCCAATAACTCAATACTGACATGATTGGGCGTTTGGCCTGTGCCAGTTTCCAGTGGACAAATCTGGCCAATTTGAAACAACAGAATTGATCTCGATGGAATTTTACACGTTGTCTAACTTTTAAGCCTTCAAACGCTGCTGGATCAACTTCGGCTGCATTGTCTTTAGATTATTGAAGCGATCGAAGTCTATGCGAGTTTTCTTCGAATTTGTCGTCAAATTGTGAGACACAGATTGTGAATTATGACTAGCCCAACGGCAAAGCAACCCTAATTAAAGTACTTGCGGGGTCGGTTTGGTTGCCTGGAAATCCAATTTCAAGCTCACTAATTTGTGTCCATTTGGTCGCCACTCTACTCGTGGCGCCCTGTGTTCGAAGATTTGAAGCGAACTTTTCAGTTATTGGGCCTCATTATGAATCATTTTTGCGAAATTCCTTTTTCAAAACAATGTTTATTCGTGTACAGGGTCCTAATAAGACAACAAAGATAGCAACTCAGTAGTTCCATCGTGAAGTACACGGGGTTTTATTTAATTGTTGAGGTTTAGTAAACAGTAAACGGTAAAGATTGTCGGTGAACACTATCGTCTCTTATTCATCACCCAAATTAACGCGCATAGTTGACATTGTAAACCTTCTCGTTTACCAGTTATTGTATTTACACTTTTTCAGTAAGCAATGTCACCCTTCTTGGCTGCTTAAATTAATGGACTGTATTCAAAGTTTATATTCACTTGTGAATTTGCTCGTGAGGGTGAGGATGGTAGATGAGCCCGTTAGTTTCGTCGATTGACAACTTGTTTATTTAATTAGGCCCTTTGTTCTAAGGCTCCTTGTGGAAAAGAGTTGCATTTAATTATTTGATGCAGCCGTCGTGGGTGTAAATTAACAAGATTTAATCTTCCTCCATAGTTTATAAATTAAAATCAAGTTTGTGCTGATAAAAATGAACTCTTACAAACCTACAACATCCCTCAATTCTTGAAAACGCTAATCGTGGCAGTAGTTGCACTTAATTTCACCACAGTGAGGAGATTTTTCACGAGTGTGTCAGGTGGGTATTGCCACTTGGTAATCACTACAAATATTGGGGCAAGTTGCCAGAAGTGATATGGAGCGGAAAAACATCAGCTGCCAGTTAAGTGGTGTAAACTATTGTCTCGCGTGAGTGCGAACGGGCTACAGATCCCATGCACGCTAATTTAGGCCACCAGGCTGTCTGTATTAATTGAAATGGCATCAAAATCCTGAATTTTTAGGGAACAATAGATTTAACAATCACTGCATTCCATTGTCCACTATCTTGCGTCTAGTCACGAAAATGCTATATTGGCAATTTTTCCCTGGATGTATAAACCATAACTAGGAAAAAACACACAACAGCTGGCAGGCGAACGTGAAGAAATTCTTTTTGACTTCTGTATATCTCTCGAATAGGCAGCTAAGTTAACTTCATAATGCTCTAATTATGCTCGTGAATGGGAAATTGCATGACTATTTCGTAAAGAGTATAGGTAAAAAGTACTTGAATGCCAGATCACAACTTGCGTCATTGTAAAAAAATCACCGCTGCTAAATTTTAAGCTCGTCAACAAATTAGCCACCTTTTAATTGGATGCTGTTTACTCTAGTGACAACCAACTTCGACCACGGGGCTATTTGGGGTCAAGGTGTGAGAACGGTCCCCTGCTAATTTAGTCACGAAATCTGTTTGTGTGAAGGAAGTTCTTCCTCCAGGCACATCCAACTTGATATTTTTAAGTTCCATTTTCGCTTTCGGGACTGAAATAATTAAGTATCATTTGTGCTTATTATTGACACCAAAATCGCCCAGCCAAATGGTTTGTTTTGATTTAAATTAACTGATACTGACACGGAATTAATGTTGTGGCCCATCACGGTTGTACTGTATTGGAGGTCTAGGCTGAACGAGATAAATTGTAATGATATGACCGGGATTTTCCAACTGGTTAAAGGGTTTTTACACGAACAACCATTTGATACATCCACCTCACGTACGGTGTAAGCTAAAACCATAACCCCTACTTGGCTCCAGCTCTGAAATTGGGTCGTTCTAACTGTTACATTTTTTTTGTTCCCGAAAGTGACAGGTGACACAAAAATGCAAACGTCTGGGTGAAAATGAGCTGTCAAATTAGATAATGGGTATGAGTAATCAAAATGTCAACTAGGCCCCATTTTAAACAGTACGTTGCTTTTTTCAAAGAAATATTTTTACAACTAGATCAGTCATTTTTGAATGTACAGACATGCACGGCTAAGAGAATCTCTCAGTATTTTATCAAGTAATTAAACTCGGTGAATCAAGTTCTTCGACTGGTTTAACTGTGATTATATCGCCAGGGAACCGAATGCAATTGAATTTAATGATGAGATGATTGTATTTAACCTTCTATCGTTCACCAATTTATCCACACAACCATGGCAAGGGACGGTAGAATTTACTCGGGACAGAAACAAATGTGTACTTACGTGATAGTGTGCCAGTATCGTGCAGTGTTTTCGAGCGTAACTGCCTTTACTTCCGGCCTAATGCTAAGCAATGAGGTAAAATACACAGTTTAGGGTTACAGCATTCCGTTCAGTCATGCGCGTCACGTGCTTGTTGTGTGTTGCGTCGGAATCTGGAAGGTAAATCAAGACGCCAGACTGTAAAGTGTTTCTCAATAGCGCTTTACTGGACATCGGCAGTTCGATGATTAAATCGGATAACGTTCCCCGCATCTGTGGTGTTATTCTCTGTCGGTTTAAGCCACCTCTACACAGTGCAAATGTTTCGGACTTAATATTTTGTCTAAGAGTCTTTGCCAAGGCAGAAGCCAAACTGTGGCTATGTTAGCAGACACAATAAATATTTCATTTTTATCTCCTTTATCATGCAAATTATAAGTCTTTTTACGTGTCAAATTTTTTTAAAATTTTCTCTCACAGAGGTTGATCCAGTCAACTGGTTATCAGATTTCTACCTAATTCAACAACTATTCAAAAGCAACTGTTGTGGGCCCCAGCATGTGGTCTTGAATCACGCCGGGGCCACTGAATTAACCCTGGCCCCATTACGTTTCTCTGATACCCGCGATGAAGAAAAAGATTGGAGAGGATATGGACACAACCGATTACTTCAGAGCTCAACCATGTTGGTGTCGTTGTGTCGTGTTTGGGATTTACATGTGTGTATTTATACCTCAGATGTGTGAGTCATAGATAAGCTAACATTGAGATCTAGGTGTAAGGATAGTCGATCGCGCTAATGAAGGGGATTCGAGACTCCTCGCTGTCGGTGGCATGCTGAGAAATGGGGACCCTGTGTCGGAGGCTGGAGTGATCGGATTAGTGAGTGTGAATCAATGCGATTTAGAACACAGCTGCAAGGCGAATTTTAGTAAATTATAATTGATCAATGGTATCATTTAATATATATACTACATCGGCAGGTGTTTGACAGCCACGAGCTATAATTATGCTGTACACACAAACGTAATTAATTCAGGCAATTAGCTAAAAAAGGCCTACAAGCCCTTGTATCAATGACATTTTTGCCATTCTCAAAACAGCCAGGTAATCACTCATCCGGCAAGGGATTGTCTCCTGCATTTAGTCAGACGACACTCCCTGGCGGTGAAATGTGTCACATGCCTATTGTTTGGTACACTTTGGAGTTTAAACCGAAGTTGGACGCGCCCAATGGATTTTATTGGTAGTAACTTGCACCCAATGGAGACCACACTTTCGTCATCGGTGTCCGATCCAGACGCATTTTGCTTTGCTTGAATGCACTGTGTTCTGTCGGCCGTTTCCTTTTCAATGCGCCTTTATAACACCTCTTGTTTAGACCGAATTGTATTCCGTTTGCTGATTTGTGCATGGGGCCACGGAACAGCTGGCTTGTGCAGTAGTCGTCTGCACGCTCCATACGTCATCGTTACTTTTAATGTTTGCTTAGCACGAAAATTGTGCAGGGCCCGAAAACTACGATATTTTGGGACATTAAAGGCAGTTGAAGTGTTGGCGTTCGTTGAGTAAAAGTGAATATCGACAACTGGCGCTAGGTCTTCAATGTCGTGGATTTTTAGTTCAACACAGTATGGAAATATTTGGCTTCTTTTTAATGCTTGAGAAGGGCCCTCTGTGAGGTGTTTGTGCTTGTCGAGATGGACTCAGGTTCGATTCCTGTCTGGAGCTTGTTAATGTCCGGGTCAGAGTCTAGAACCCATCACAATGTTTCTTCACCACCATGATCAGCTAGCCATATTCACTGGGGCACGGATTTGATTGATAACTCCGTGGCCCATCTTATCTCAAGTTGTTCTGCGCAAGTGTCTTCTACTGATTTGTGTTGGCAAACTGTTATAGCCCATCTAGTACAAGCTGTCGCCTCGTGAACCTGTTAGGGGATTAAACATGAAATAGTTAATTTTGAACAGAGTCAAACAGCTTCCCTAACGATTGCCTGGTTACTATAATAGAGTTGTCTTATCAGTTTGACTGTAAAATCGCTAACCATGGATACTTCTAAAACTGCAAAAGGTCCAGACTCTTTTTGTCACTCTGCCAGATTGTCATGTGTAAACTTACCAAAAAGGCCACAGTGATTGGGCTATGGGAATTGTGTGCCATTAGCGGTCTGAAACCACACCGCTCCTCGGACTGCCACGCCAGCATGCAGGGGTTTCTTTTACCCAAATCTCAAGGCAATGGGCAGAGTTGTTAGTCGACTTGTGCAATCGATGGACATCGATTTCGGAATTGTGCCCTCAAAGGAGTTGAATATGTCCAACCTGAGAGCGATAGCCACTGGTCAGATATGCGAATGTGACACACAAGAGACGGCAGTCACGGCGATTATATAACCTGAGAAAGTGCAAACGGGATGTTAAAAATAGCATATTGCTATGCATAACAAAAGGCGACACTAGTGTAGGCTTTAGGTCGTAAGGATTCCTTTACGGGGTTCAAAAAACATGATGAGAATACTCATTTATGTCGTTTTAACCATTATGTCGTGCAGAATTGGACAAAGTCTGCGCCATTTTATTTGAAAAATTGCATGAGATTTTGGTAAGGTGGCCGAGGTTTGAATGAGCAAATTTGGGTTTTGCCAAATCGGATATAAATTCAATTTAACACGGCATTACCTCCCATACTTGCATAAGTGTCTAAGACAAAATACGTGCTTAAAAGCGTTCCTGCTGCTTAGTTTGTACTTTGCACAGAACGTGGCAGTACATTAGGCAGAGAAATAAAGCAAGAAACAATGCAGATTCCGGCAAAGGTTGTTTAGTTCCTTGATGGTAACATCTGTGCTCATTAAAACATATTTATTGGGTTTAAACGTGACCAAGGAAAAAGGGAAAGCTTACTCTGAATTACGCGATACTTTCTAGGCGAATTTTTTCATCCCTGATTCCTTAAAGAAGGCAGATATATTGGAAAACAGAAGGCAAGACAGTGTTCTTTGCTTTTTTTGCGTTTCAGCTGTGTGGTAAATGTTGATAGCACTCATTTCTTAACCAATGTCAGACATTTAATCTGCCTTTAGTATTCAAATTTTGCACCTGACCGAGATAATGCCAGGTACATAAAGTTTTACCCAGTCTGAGAAGCCCATGGTGCGAAGCCTATTTGCGAACGAATGAAAACTACGACATTTGTTATCGAGTGCACCTTCATAACTAGCATTGATGATATTGCTTGTTATGGCATAAAATTGCAAGACAGTTTGCTGACTGCGTGATAGTGTTGGACTTACTTCAATTTGTGGCAGGCAAATGATTAAAAGAAGGTTTAAAATGCTGCCGGCAAAAAGTGAAGTACAGGTTGAAATTCGGTCCGTCGTCTTTTCGAATGCTTTTTTGAATTACCGGACAAGTTAATTTTGAATTCGTGGCTTTGTGCAGGCATTTAGCACATAATGTAGTCGCCACATTTCCTGGGTTATCGTGCTTTAGTGTAACGCCCTTTGACATGCACACTCCGCTAATTTGGCCACACGGAAAACTTCACACCAGCTATTTTGTCTTCTTAAACTCATAAAAGCTATATCTGAAAGGAAATGTTTAAATTGGATGCTTACGTCACCTGAAAGTGTTCGCAAGAGACCCAAATTCCCGTCATAAGGTACCGGTTACACTGTAAATCGTTGTAACCGTCTTTCATTTTTACCGACCAAAGTAAAATACATCAAACATTTTTCCGGTAGAGATACTGCATCGAGCTATTTGACAAGTTTACAGACAAAGTCCTCCTCAGGAGCTCTAATTTTTTAAAAGATACTTCTAGTTAGTAGGGCATGTCTTAGCAGAAAGCCAGCGCACTGATTACTATTCTTGCATAGCAGCACATGACCAGTAATGGACTTAAATGATCGCCCTAAAATGTGTTTATGTGTTAAATCTAGACCTGTTGAAATGTCAAATGTCAGCTGCTCTAATGCGTAGCTATCGTTATTAATCAAGAAAAAGCAATCACATAAATGGAAGAGGCGTCTAAGTATATGCGGGAGTGGGGAATTTCATTGATGATTGTGTCAAAAACAATCCAGTTATTGTTGAAATTGCTTTACTCGGAATCCTGCTTAGTTTCACACACATTTGCGGGCTAAAGATTCACTCTATTTTTATGTGTACGATGCTCCATAGAAATGAATTCCCTTAGTTTTATATCATTAAGTAACAAAACAACAATTCTTTACATTTAAAGTTTCACTAAAGCAAAACACGGAATTATTTACAAATTCGCTTGCAGTAACTTTTGCTACTGTGGCGCATTCAATCAAAGTACTCAGTAGTGGTTCATGTTGTAGTTTGCGGGGACATCCATGGCCAGTTCTACGATCTGATGAAACTCCTAGAAGTTGGCGGCGATCCCTCCGCAACGCAGTACTTGTTCATGGGCGACTACGTTGACCGAGGCTGCTTCAGTATGGAGGTGAGATTTGGCTTTTTTGCGCCACGTTTGATCGCGAGTTGCAGCTTGTGAAGCAAGGCATAGTGTGGGTCTCGCACATACGCCACTGACTTGCTGCAAGAAAGCTACAGTAATTCGCACTCTGAGTTTCTGTCGTGTCAAACACACCATTTTTTCTACGCCATTCCACGCTCAATCCTCAGATTTCTCATTTATCGGGACCACACGAGGACAGCACAGCCATTCCCTCTGACTTGTGAAGAAGTCGGAGTGCAGAGAATGACGAAGCCACCGAGTTGGTCACCACTTTTTGAAGCTCGACGCATCTAGTGCCCCAAGAGTCGCTGTTCAAGCGTGGCAAATGACCTACTTCTTTGACAAAGTTACGCCTCGTCGACGCTACACCAGCAGGTTCTCGCGTTCAAATTGGTGTCAGGGGAGACACATTAAGGAATTGTATCAAATGATCGACAAAAAGTGCACTCAAATTAACTACCCTTATTACCAGCTTTGGCTGCTTCACCATTGCATCAAGGAATTGTCACTTTCAAACTCGGAGGCTTATTTGAAAGCTGGATTTATTTAAAGAATTAGCATAATTTAACAAAATGAAGTAGAATCTAGACACATGTTTAGGTAAAAGGAAAATATCTAGGCGAAGCATGTGCATTTGATAAGAGTGAAATCATTGCGCCTCTGTTAGATGAAGCAACGCTTTGAGCGCCGATCGTTCCCGAATTTAATTAATAACAGTAATTCCTGCCAAAGCGACCTGATACGAAATCGCTGTGAGTTTTCATCGATTGAAATCGAGAATCGCAGTACCATTGACAACGAACACCCTGTAGCCATTCAAGGCGCATGTTTTAACATGACCAACCTTTGAACTTGTAGTGCGTCCTGTACTTGTTTGCACTGAAGATGACCTATCCCCTCACCTTCTTCCTCCTTCGTGGCAACCACGAGTGCCGACACCTGACGGAATATTTCACTTTCCGACAAGAATGTGAGTTGTTCTCTGACCTTTTGAATACCACCATTGCAGTGAATGTTTGTACATTGACACATTTTGTTTCTGCTTTAATTAATTTGTGTGCTGTGAAAAAAAAGTCCAGAAGATTTACAACAAAGCGATGAAAGGATAAATCAAAGCCCTAACTTGTTGAGGCTAGTTGCGCTTTTATGTGGTTCTTTGCCCTCGAGCTAGCCCCATTTCACTCGACTAACTTTGTGTTAGAACAATTCTCGATTCACTGCATTGGAAAACTAGGCATCGTGGTTAGTGCTGTTCTCCCCTTCACAGGTGTATGACCTAACTGTTGCAGATTTTTTCTTTGAGCTTACAATTATGGTTAAAATAGAAAATTGTTTCGCGGTCTTTTTGCGGTTTTAAAATAACCAGACGCTAGGTTTCAGAACACCGACCGACAACTCTGCGTGAGTTACAGTACCTCTCAGAATGGTGGAGTTTACGATGGTAACTGGTAAATGGCACATTCGACGGCACTGCCTTCTATTCGAATTCCATCAAGGAAATATGCTTCTAAAGTATGGGAATCCATTCGTGGTGTTCTAGGTGCTGGCGTTGTGTCTTATGAAATGTGTAATTATCGGCACAACCCTTTTAAAAGTGGTGATTTCGTTTTTTTTTGCGAGAATCCCAAACGTGAGAGGTCGTGGAGAGATACCGAGCAACCTAGTGCATCGACGTCGAAACAGAACATTCACAAGAGGAAGAAGGTTCTCCTGTGTATCTGGTGGAATACGAAGGGTCTACATTGTTGGGAACTCAATCAAGAGTTTGGTCGGAAGGTGATGGCGGAACGCTACAATCGACAATCGAATAAACTGAGTGAAGACCTTGATCATAAAAGGCCATAAAGATCTTGGTATTTTTCCATCGCTCAAGTAGCTTTTCCGTTGATAAGGCAATTCAATTATCGTCAAGGAGTTGTCCGTTAGTTTTTCCGGGTCTGCCTTGCGGCCTGGTGTCGTAGGCTGGGGAACGAACGGCATTTTTTTCTTAGTTAATGCATTGTATGCTTTAGCATTGCGTTATTTGTCCATGCATTTTCATGGACTCCTACGAGGTGTTCAACGCACATTATTCACCATTCGTGAATGATTTGCCGGCCAAGATGTGCAATAAGTGGTAATTTTTTACCTTGTTGCATCAGGAGTCATTTGTCGTTTTTGAATTACCCAAAACTGGATGTGGCTTTCCCATGTTTCAACCGCATTTCCGAGTCATATTACACAAATGTTTATTATCTCCAGTCACGTATTGCTCACTGGTTTGAGTATTGTACAGTAAATGGACAAATATTTAGTAATATTTTTAGCCTACTATGATTCAAATCCAAATTATTTTAAAGACTGAGTAAAGACACCATAATTTGCTGGATAATGACCAATGAATTGGCAGCCTTGGGATTAATACTGCGAAGGATCTACAAAAGAGTTGACTAGCGAACTAACCCCTAGTCATGATGACTACAGCAATCGCAAGTGTTCCTGAGGCAAAACATTAAATTCTTCTATAGGTGTAGTCAAAGTACTGCTAGTAAACTTGCGAATATTGTAAGATGTCAAATTTTGGCTGAATTATTTACATAGGAGTTAGGCTGGTTTCCAAAACAAGTTAGACTAAGTGGTAAATTAATTCACACAAGGTGCCGAAATGACTACTTTAACAGTCTGCCTTATGTGAGGCCCCAAGTTTATAAAATTTGTGTTCTTTGTGTCATGTGGTGTGTGAATGTGGTTGTGTTTAGGTGACTCCATTTAATTCTTTTAGTTAAATTTTTATCACGTGGGTCAAAAAAGTATGCACAAACAACATTCAATTCACTTTAAAAGCAAACTCTTTCAACAAAGACAGACAGATAAATTGCCACTAAAGTAATTAGATAACAGCTTAATTTCAGTGGTGGTTCATTCTTAATTACATTTAAAGTGCCATCAATCGTAGAGATTAAATATAAAAACCTAAAATGAGCAGAGCAAAGAAAAACTTCAAAGAATAGCGACGTCATCTCATGGCTTATGAGAAAGTATGTCAAACGCTTTCAGCATGTCACCGAATCAAGATACATCCATGCGCAGCATTTTCGATAGCTCGCTGTAGTAAACCCGGATCTCACAGCCCTGAGACAGCCTCTGACCGTTGATCGCAATTTCAAGATAGGAGATACCACTAGTCAATCTAGTGATATGTTTTATCGTGGTATGTTAAGGGAAGTAAGCGCTAAGCTCTCAGGAATTTTCACAGGTAATAATAAACAAAAATTGTACAAGTTTGACTTAAGCATAGCTACCGAATGTGTTAATTACGAATCAGCACTAGAGTTGCTTACAATTCCTAGTCATCACGTATGGCTTTTGTTTCTTACAACGCCCAAACATTTGGGCTAATTCAATGCATTTCTTGGTACAGTCGTCTCTACTGCTCTTTCTGTTCGTGGTTTGCTCTGGGTTTTATGAAAATTCGGTACGTGTTTCCCAGGAAGTCCAGCGAATGATGTTCAAAGTTTGAAGAAAATACTGAATTCACATGTCTGTTGTTGTCAAGATCAAAACAACGCGTTAATTAAAGACTAACTCAAAGCCGAGGATTCTGTGTGGCGTAGTATTCCCCTTTTTATATTGTCCTTGTTTGACTTGTACGTACATGCAAAAAATCTTAACAACTGGACTGAATCCTGGAAATCGTTTAATTTCACTGGTGGGATATGGACGTATCCTATCGCAAAACAACCTAACCTCATTTTCTTGTTTTCTTGAATGGGATTCAGAAGGAGTGGGGAACACCCTAATCGGCTTTTTGTTTAGCTTAGTTTAGGGGATGAAATTTGATCTTTGTTGACAACAAGACGAACTTTAATGCACAATTTATCATTACATGTTATCAAACACTTTCTAACGGTCAGCTTGTTTGATTTCCAAGTAGTTAAAATGTGCACGTTTTGACTCGAAAATATTTACTGAACGATGCTTTTAACTCCATTTTGACATTAAAAGGGAAACCCGCGCCATTTTTGTTCCGATAGTGATCAGGAGCGATGAGAATACGATGAAGCCAAGTCTGGAAAATATGCGAGTTGCGGCAGTTGAGGTTTGATTGCTGCTTTTGTCAAATTATGTGTACGAAGGCAGAAATTATCGTGCTGCGAATAAGCACAATTACGTCAACGCGATAGCTTAGCTTGTATCGTTCTGTTAAGTCGATACATTCATTCCACATCACGGTCTACAGTAAATTCTACTCAGTAATGGATTGCGCCCATCAATAATGAATCAGAAAGACTCATCCTTCAGTCCAACTTTTCTTAAAAGTCGCGGGGGAATTTAATCACACGTTATTTTCGACTTGTTTTATGGTTCCAACACTATTTCGATCCCGTGTTGTGCATGTGCCAATTTCATTTTCCCCCTGATCTCGTTGTTTTCTGCTATCAAAATTTACTTGTTTACATTTCTTGCAGTTCTTGACCACTTAACTCGGTGTGTTTATTGTTAGGCAACGGAACTAATCAGAAAGAAAAAGGGCCATGCATGGATGTGTGGGAAGATTCGTGGTTTAACCAAATCGGTATTTTTGCATTAAATTGACTAAATGGCTAGTAACTAGGTGTAATTAAAAAAAAAACGGAATCACTAATTGAAGACATTCAACTGAGTAAAAAGCAATAAGTCTTTACAAATGTTTACCAAGGTTGATGAAAGTGAAATGTTTTTGCCTGAAAAGCACAGTTAATGTTTATTTCAAAGAAATTGATTTTTAGCCACTGCAATATTTTAATTGAATTTTGTTAGAACATTTGGTTTGAGAGACGCAGCATTTGGCCAGACTTCGGCATATTTATTTCGGCTATGTAAAGACACTTTAGCGTATGCCGAATTAGGATGTGGAAGTAGGCAGATCCTAACGCAGTTAATCAAATTTTCACCGTCTTCCTGCTGCCATTTGGTGCTGGCTCAAGCACTTTGTAACCCAATTTTAACGGATTAAAACAAATGGGTCCAACAGTACACATAAAACGAATCGGGGGATATTTTGGAGGCACTTAACGTATCAATCATTGATCGCTAGAAGATCATGTTAGGGTAAGCAATAAGAACTTACTTTTACCACTTACCCCATTTTCGAGTAAATTCAGTCTATACACTGCCAAACAACTGCCGTTTCCCTTTGACCATCCGAGTCATTTGCAACATTTCGTGTACTTTAAAAACATATGCTACGGGAACACAGGTGATGGCAAACGACTGCGTGCATCTAAATGTGTAATTTGCATCCTGCTCCAACCTAGTACTTTAGAACTTGCTTTTTGATTAGGGCAGAGTTAATGTATTGTTGGCTTAATGTTTACAAATAAATCCTCAGTGAAGTGTGTTTAAGTTACGTCGATGACTGGTCCATTCAAAAATAGGGTCCGTGGACTGTAATGCAGCATTGTATTTGTACACGCTACTTTTTGTACGAAGCCGCACCCCATCCATAAGACGAGAATTTACTTTAACAAAAACGGTGAATGGAATTTGGGAAAGAGACGCATTTAGCATAGTACGAGGTCAGGTTTTTCTAGTCTTATTCGAAAACACTTCGGTAATTTTTTAAAATTTACTCGCTTGCCTGGTCTAACGAGAGGAATCCCTCTTTCGTGACTCTAGAGCATTTTACAGTGCAAAATTACAATCGATACTGGGCACAGTTGTCATGGCCTTCAGCACTCAAGATCAGCAAAGGTGGCTTAGTGGATCAATTCTAGTTAAGCCAAATTGTCTTGTTAGTGGTGCATCCACATTTGTGCAGGGTATTTCAATATTGTTCAACACAGACGACGCGCATTAATGACTGGTATTATCGAACGCTTAAATAAACACTAGACTTTCCAGTCATCACAGCTGGTAAGGCGGTGGCCATTTCAGTATTGCACGCATTCCTTAGGATACATCAATTTGCCTGGATTGAATGCCGAACGGCAAACTGTCCACTTTCACAAATCCGACGGGCGTGACTGAGCTGGACGCCATAAAACAATTCAACACTAAATTACCACTGGTGATGGTGGAATCACTGACCGACGAGGCATTCGTGTAGGATGTTTAGCTCCATCTAGCCCGAATCTGAGGCATCAATCTGAGACAAGGAATGTTTTGTTAGTTGACCCAGCAGGTTCATGTGTCTCCAAGGCAACATTCTTCAGGATTGCTAGGATACTTTTTTAAAAACTCTATGTTGCAAATTAGGCATGTCAATAGGAGCCCTGAGGATAGTCATTCTTGTCTTATACAACAGGTTTAACAGGTGTTGACCTAGACTTTATTAACCTGGATGTCATGATTTACCACATTTGTGCCATGAGCCAATCTTCAAAATGGACAATAAATTAAATCCATCCCACTAAATTGTGCTCGAAAACTACAAAATGGATGCAAAGCCACTGGATTGTTTGAAGAATTGGGTCATTATTGTAGTGTGTTGCATAAATAACGTGAATTTTCATAACTGATTTGAAAGTTTGAATTGTGTCCATTTAAATCGGATTTCAGCGTTGGTCTTCTTAGAAGACTGGTTTAGGGTTAGTTAAGAAGTTACTGGGGTTCCTTTTTTTGTTTAAGAACTACTTCATTGGTTCTTGTCGGCGTTGGCCAACGTATGCAAGTGTGCTTTTGAGAAGTGAAAAGCAATTGGTTTTCCCAGTATCAAACTCCACAGTGCTGAATAACTATTTTGAGATGTTGAGGGCGGGATTGTTGGATACGATCTGAAGAGGCGAGATTTCTGACACAAGCAACAATCCGTGATTAGGTACTGCCACCAAATTTGGGGTTACGTATCATCTGAAATTACCCAGAACGCAGGATGATGGGTTTTGTCTTTTGCCTACATATTCCACACAGTCTAACCAGTCGCGGATATAAGCGGATTGTCACACCGAATATCCATCTTTTTAAAGCCTTCTTTAGGCTAGCTCGTAAGCCCACAAACATAACTTCAAGTCCTTTCTGTAAAATGATATTGGGTAATGTTAACTTATTAATTTCCCGATTATTTAAAGCTGTCGGTTTTGATCTGCGCCCTTACAAACTGGGGCAAAAACAGTTAGGTGATTCATCGACGTTCGCTGTGTTTGCATTCCTTTTTCCCTGGTTTCGTTTAAGTATTCGCAACACTTCGAGGAATTACACAAGTACGGTTGCTTTGCGAAATTCGGAATACTTAGTGGTCCAATTACAGGAAAATCCTTTGAGGTAGAGCATCCCGAGGCGTCAGTTCAGCATAAGAAATCACAACATTACATTTTCGTCCTGTGGCTGGTTCGAGTCATTTCCGTGTTTTTTTATTAACCTTATTTTAGTGGGTTCTGTGGTATTTAAAAAAATTAGACAAGCTATTTTCCATGTTTCTTTTATAGCCTACCAATAGATTCAGTTGCATAGGGGATAAATACGACGGACACTAAATCCGGTGGTTTTGATGACTGACTTGTATTTCATCAGTTCTTCTTTTATACCGACTCCATAACTAAATTTTCCGCTTTCTTTCTGACGATTTACTTACAATGCGTATGCCTTCATGCAAATCTAAGCACTAATAATGACACAAAACCTGGTTTGGCCTGAATTTCTTCTTTTTGCGACAGATTAGTTGCAGTTTATAACATGAGGATAAACAGTGATTTGCCAGATGTTCCCAGATTTGACAAAATGACTCAGGATATGCGGTTTTTAGTTTTTATGTGAATGGTAACCACCAGGGAATCGCAAAAAATGTGCACAACAGAATACAAAAGTTAAATTCAATTTCTTTGTGATGCAGGTACATGATTTCTTCTTGGCGATAGTTGCCTCGTAAGGATGTGTTTCGGTAAAACCATCGCGTCGTACCAAAAATCAGATGTTTTTCGTGAAATTAGTTAAATTAATCATAGTTCTCCCAACGATCTAAATCCCACAACCAAATTTGGTTAGTGTGAAGGATCCAGAATCGCATTATTTGGCAGTCTTCTCTTGGGTGAAATCAATCGAATCTTGGGTGAATAATGGTACCGAACTTACCTTTTGTTCAGTCATTGCCTAAACTAATAACAAGACTGGATGCTACCATGAAAGATTGCGAGAAGTTACTGGTGGAAGTCATTGTAGTTGACATTAATTTTTACTGGTAGGAAGCGGCAATATACTTTTTTGCAAATTACGTTCTCTGTTACGTGGGTATGGCCAAGGAGGTCTGGAATTTCTCGTCTGTGTGATTTGTCAAAATCATGAATAATTCACACGCATGCAACATAGGAATTTCCACGCCATACTTTTAACAAGTCTGCATTAATACTGGACGCTAGTGCACATTTCACTGCTCTTGGTTTCAAAACGCTCAAAATGAAACACCAGCGTCCTCCAGTTTCCTCCACATGATTTTTAAAAAAATTAGATTGAAAGTCCATTGACGCCAATAATAAGTGTGAGTACGCGTTGAGAATCGCAAATTATGTGGGTCTCTTTACTTTATTTAGACGCTACAATTTGTGGAGTATAGGTCTTGCCTCAGGTTTAAAGGCGATCACAAGACTTCTTTAGTTGCGCGAGCACATACATGTGTTTTGTGCACAGAACCACCTTAGTGGCTGCGTTTTTGGACAACAACGCACTCTCGGAGCCCACAAAAAAATTGCCTAAGGCCATGTTAGCTAGTTCTGATAACAGGTCATTCTATCACCCGTGATGGGGGTGTTCCAGCCGTGTCTGAGCTTTGAATGCTTCACGCAGACGTTAAAACTGATACCCAACTAGTTACTCACAGAATGCACGCGGTCAGTGTTCGTCTTGAGCAACTGAGGTTAGCTAGTCTGAGGTGACTTCGCAAGGAGGTGGGCCATGCCAAGTTATAAAGATGTGCTTTTGTATAATCCATAGCGGCATAACTGTGGAATTGGGGGAAGACCATGGATGTTGCGACATTCGTGAACTAGTCTAGCCATGCTGCTATATGTTGATCTGGTTGAACTAAGACATTTTGCCCATTTAGACATCCTATGATTGTATCATCATCACTTCACTTTGAATCGGTCACTTTCTTTAGTCTATGTATTCATTTTACAATCATGTTTCCGAGCTGTGGAACCCTCTTAGGCGTCTTGCATGGCACAAATTGGACACAAACGTTCTTTTGCATGCTAAACACTGGTTTAGCCTCCACATCTCTTTAGGATTTCAGATCTCTTCGTCTTAAATCTTATGCAAAACAATGCTAATAGTTTATTTATTTTTGGAGGACTTTTTTTTCAAGTAATGAAAATTTTACGAAACTTAGACGTTGGCGTTTCTCCTCTCGAATTACTATTTTGATTTAATATCTCGTAGTAAAGCCACAAATTATTCTTCCACGGGAAACCAAGATATCAGATAACAGACAAATCGTGTTCATGCCGTTAACACGTCTTTTTATCCCTTTCTTCATCATCTCTATTTCGTTTCTTTTTTGCTGCACAAAAGATTTTCCTGAGAGACGATGTTAAGAGAAATGAATGGAAAAGTCTTAAAACCATCTTTCTGCATAATTTCTGTTCAATTTTAGGCCGGCTGAAATACACAGATGCAGTTTATGATGCCTGCATGGAAGCGTTTGATTGTCTACCTCTAGCCGCTTTAATCAACCAACAATTCCTCTGCGTCCACGGTGGTCTTTCACCTGAAATCCATTCGCTCAAAGATATCAAAAAGGTAATGTGCATGTATGTATTATTATTATTATAATTTTAAGCCAATTTAAGCACGCGTTTGTATAAGGATATTGCATGCGTAATTAGCCAACAGCTTATCACTTACAGAAGTTTGCATTGCAGTGTTTGGCTGGTAATTACTAGATTAGAGTCAACCATTAGAACATAAGTCCGGAAGATTATACAGTGGAGTACAACGCGTTGGAATTCTGGTTAGTTCTTATAACAATATAATAGGATACGTTTTTAGCAGAATGAGTTATGATACAATTCGTACGTCTGCTTATGAGACAGCAATGCCATTCCTTTATACATAAATGTCCAGATTAGGAATGCTTTTCCTCACAAGCAATTAAGTCTGCATTCACTTGTCCTGTCGGTTGTTTACATTAGTCTGCGGCTTCAGAAGAGAAAAGTTGGAGAAATGCTAGTCACCACGTCGCATAATCGACTAAGAGTTAGTTATGATTGCTCTGAATTTTACTTGATCAACAAGTGTGTGTGTGTGTGTGTGTGTGTGTGTGTGAACCGACAGTTCTGCGCACTCGGACTCACAATTCCACTTTGTGCGTCCACGGAACTTTAGTTTCGCTAAGTAGCTCTCCTCACTCGGTTTCGCATTCTTTTTTTCCATTTCGCAACGTGAATGTCGAATTGTGACACACATAACGCATAGTGAATACCAGTAGCTGAGGTCTCAGGATAGCAATGCACATCTCAATCAACGCGTCAAGACAGTTAAGCATGAATCATAATTAGGGTGGTTAAACAGCAGCTTGTGTTGAAATCAGTCAAGGTTTTGATTGGGTTGCCTAAATAATTGACTGTCCATCGTGTTTGAAGGCTTGTCAAATTTACACAGCTGCATCAAATTTGACTACATTGGTGGAAAAAGTTGAATGATTGTTGGCTTAAAACAGCCGCATTTAGAATTCCTGCTCTCAGAGGACCTGGGATTACTTTGAAGGATTTAATTTGATTTTAACCGGAAGGGGTGTGTTCATTCTCTCATCACTTGAAGTTGTGGTTTGCTGATTAGGTTCACTTCCACTCTTACTTGAACGTGCTGGAGTTTAGCGCAAAATACGAGGACACCGGACTTACCCGGAAGCTGACCTCAAACTTGTCGATTTCGAAATAACTTGCTCTTCCTTTTGTTTAAACTAAACATACTTTCTCTATGAAATATTTTACCCTAAAATGACAATCTGCTCACAAAGACGCCGTGCCACCGTTTGCAGCACCTTTTTGAACGGAATGTCCTTGAGGATGTCGATAGAAAATAGACATTTTATTAGAAATCGGTACATACAGGGAGATTATTTAAAAGTAGAAAAAAAACATGATGTAATCTCCTTTTTGCCTTTCTGGCTTTAGAGTAAAAAGAGTTCATGGGAAAAAGTTGCGTTATAGTGAACAGGTGAAGGAATTAAAATCATGAAGTGGCTTTCCAGGTTATGAAACTTCTCTAATGTTGGTTTTAATTTGTTTAAAATGAAATGTGACACACAGGACCTCTTCTACCCTAATAGAAACTCCTCTATTCATTTCTACAAATCTTGATTAATAATTAACTTATTTTCGTTTTTCAAGGTCGCGCCACACAATAAAAAGTGCATGGATAATCAACCCATCTCTAGCTAGTTAACTAGCTATTTTTAGTACATTAAAAAACCGATGGCATTATGTTCTAATCGTGGTGCATTTTTTGAAGTAAAATCAGGATAACTCGCTTGCAATGTAATTTAAAACTGGCCTAGTTCTTTCATATTTGTTAGGAAAGCGTTTTCTCCACGTTACCTTTGCGCTACTTGCAATTTATCACACATTATCTAGTAACTTTCTAGTGTGTGATCTGTTCAAAATTTGCCGCCACTTAAAACGGCGTCGCTGTTTAAGCATCGAGTTAGCTCTGATTTGATTCAACTAGTAAGTCACCTTCCTTTCCTCACGACCTTTCTCATCCGCTTTTTTCGCAAAATCACCTCTATCTTCGACTAAACACACCTTTGAAATTAAAGTGAAGCGCCAGCAGCCTAAGTTCAAAGATGCATCTTTAAAAAATGCCCAAGAAAACGAGGTCTCTTTGTGCCTTGATGAGAACACAGAAAAATCAACCTCCGCAAATTTGGCGTAATTAACTACGTTAATATTTTGAAAATTCAAACGATTGGAGTTAAGACATTGTGGTGTCGTTGTGTCGCCAGTCAAACTATCCTGTGGATGCTCTTTATTCCCAATACGAAACTCTCCCGAGGAAACAGGACAGTGGTCGTAGGGAACGCAAGTTACAGTTGTAAGGCTTTGGTAGCTGGTGGCAACACCAAAATGTACCACCCCCTCCTCACAATCGGCTTTCCCAATGCCCTTGCCCCACGACGTGCAGTGAGTCAGTCCCACACGGGATGCGACAGGTTCGTGAATTGTGATGCCAAATCGGCTTAGCTACTTCACGGTCAAGTCGTTCGCCATTAACCAAGTTGTTTTCCTACGTCGGTGTTCTCTGGCAGCAGAGGTGCCATATGACACCTATCAAGCCTTCAATTGATGCCCAGAAATTGGACGCTTTCCGATAAGGATGAGATGGAGTCTTCAGCCCTGACAGAAAAGTCTCTTGATGGTACCTGAGGCAAAAGGCGTTAAGTACCGGACAATGGTTGTAGGGAACGCAAGTTACGGTTGTAAGGATTTGGTAGCTGGTGACAACAACAAAATGCACCACTCCCCTCATCATTAACGGTGTTCCTAATGCTCTTGCTCCACGACGTGCAGTGAGTCAGGCCCACAAGGGACACTCATCTCAACTGTCCGGTTTTGATGAATCCTGTGGGGCATTATGCTTGCTGGTAATATGCTTTTTTGTTTTAATACTAGGGAGTCCTAAAAAGGGCTTTTTTGTCTTACTGGGTTTAGTTTCAGGCCCACATATATGCCCTAATCTTGTGGGGGTAAGTTCGCAGTGATTAACACTTTGACAGTGAGCTGGTCATGTCTGCCCAATCGGTCTTCGAAATTGTGGCCTGTCTACTTGGTCGTTTGGCAATACAATTTAGAAAAGAAGGCCTGTTTTTACTTCACAAAGATCTGAAGAATTTGTTGACGTTTCTATTCACCATACTCTAACAAGTTGGTGGTATCAAGGGAAATCAGGGCCCTCTTGTGTGGTTTTGTATGAGGTGTTACCTAGCAACAAAGGTTACCTTGATTAGGAATCGTCTGTAGTTACAGACGGACTCAAGTAGTCGTGATCTAGGTTTTCTGGTTGTTAAATTCCCCTCCATTTCAGTCATTTACCTGCGATGTGTCGTTTTGCATTCACTAAAATTCAGAGTAATATTAAAGGCGCCAATCACGCTAGTCACATCTATTTGGGACAGTGCAGCAAGCAATTCTTTTGAATAGTTTTAAAGTGGCGGTTGCCACGGCGGTAATGGGGAAAACCAGAAGTACGGTCTCGTAGGATCTGAGGCACGTGAAGCTGCTTCAGCGTTCTCTTTTTTCTAGTGCGGCAGTTTATTACGTTTCAACTCACAGACTCCCTGTATTTCAAGCGCTAATTTGTTAAAATTGTTGTTTTAATCGCCAGAAAGCTAATTTTTTTAAAAGTTTGCATACAGCATAGGTGCCCTTAGAAGTGTTTGAGTGTAGCAAACTTTTAGAGGAAAAGAATAGGTAATGAAAGGTGAACGTCAGCGCTTAAAAAAAACAGTCCATGTGATTCAAAGAGTGATGACGCTTATTAAGGGACTTAATGAAAACAGCTTAAAAAATAGCCAAGTATGTGAGTGTTCGGCGAAACCCCTCGATAGCTTCTCAAATCACATGCGTGCACGACCTATTTCCACCTGCTATTTGGGAATACGCTTCGTTTTTTTTTGAAAATGCTGCTTAAAAATGGAAAAGAGATGAATTAGTTGAAAATGCAACCAGTGTATACGCGAGCTAGTTGTTTCACACAAATAACACATAAGGTAGCACAAACCCCTCCAACCAAACAATTTCAATATTTTCGCCTATTTTGGTCATTTCGCAACTCTACTTTTGAAGAGTTCACGTAGTCTGAGCGCCACCAGTCTTGTGACTTCAAAACGTAGGTGTTGGGGAATGGTGCCTTCCACGTCAACCCCAGCATTACGAAGTCAACCTCGAAACAAATGACTATTCTGGCAATCGTCCCTACCAGCCGCATCTAAGAACCGACGTAGGGGTGATAATGGGTTTCAGGAACAATATTTTCAACTTCTTTTAAAGTTACAGTAAAGGAAACTTTTCATGTGTTTATGTGCACGGAAGTTGATCTACTACAACGATCCGAGATCACTGTGTTCGCTCTGCCTAAGAGTTATCCAGATGTATGAAAATCTGGGAAAGTGTATGTCTTCGAGTGAAGAGTCCATGGTTGTGCTATTCTCAACATGCTGACTTACCTATGCAATTTGTCAAGTATTCGTAAATTTTTAGCTACTGAAATAATTCTTTTTAAAAAATGATGATGTTCGGCATGGGCTTCTCCTCACAGGTGCAACCCAAAGTAGAAAGTTGACAGAATTTTGGGATGTGCTAACCAATTCGAGCAGACTCCTTCTCGAGTTAGACATTTTTTAAAGGTCAAAGCTATGAAGAAAGCTCGGCAGACTGAGATTGCTTGATTGTCATTCGCTTGAAGGGGAGCACAAGTTTACCCTTCTGAAGCACTGACTTCCACTCTAGCAGTATAGCCATAGCAGGATTATTCGTTGTTACTGCAATCTGTCACTTCAGATGGACCGTTTCCGGGAGCCGCCGACCCACGGTCCAATGTGCGATCTCCTTTGGTCAGACCCAACGGAGGACTTTGGCCAGGAGCGGAACAACAGCCACTTTTCACAGAACACAGTTCGCGGATGTTCCTTTTTTTACTCCTACGCTGCCGTCTGCTCTTTCCTTCAGGCAAACAACCTCCTTTGTCTCATCCGTGCCCATGAAGCTCAAGATGCAGGGTAGGTCACACATGCCGTTTTGAACATCCCACACATTACGATCATTCTAAATTGGCAATCCTCGTTTCACATTGAAATCGGGTGTGTCCGGTTCTTAGTCAAAAACTTACATTCCAAATGGTTGTGGTGTATGAGTTTTACTGCAAAACCGACTGTGTATGCCAAGAGCTTAAAGAAAATGAAGAATAATGGAAGTGGGGACGAGAGTGTCTGGAATGTTTAGACTAACACAAGACGGTAGCTTGCGACAAATCACTGGTTCAACATGGCAATTTTTGTAGAGCGTATTTAATTTCCTTCCTCAATTGGCGTTTATCAGTTCAATTAACAAAACTTTTCACGTCACGTTGGGTTTCAGCTTCGTGAGGAAGGAACAAAAGGAGACTGCATCTGTTGTAAGAGCAAATTTACTGTCTGCGATATTAATTTGGCTCTCCTGCATTAGGTGAATGCAACAGTCGAACATTGTGACTGAGAAGCTCCTCAAATACCCAAACAATTTAATTTTATTGTAATAGACAACTTCCATGGAGGTTCATCAACCGTGAGGCTCATGTGAAGTAGTAACAAAATTACGGGCCCAATGAAAGCACTGCCCTCGCACACGTTCATGAGGTAGTCCTGGTTAGGGCGAGGAAATTCAGTCGACCATGTAAATTTAAGTAGCCTGGGATTGGTTCACAAAAAAAACTCCAAAAGTCTTTTTTTCTCTTATTACCTTACTTAAATTATGTCGATAAAAGAGAAGAACTACGTCTTTCGTGAGCATATACATGTTTACAAGTTGTGTGGATTTCACATAATTGTGGTTGCATATAAATAGATATTTGTTGTACGCCATGATACCGCCCATAAAAAGTCCCTTTATTATAACTTTCTGACAAAATTCTTCATGTCTCTTCAAATAAACTTAAAGCTATGAAGTTTTTGTCCCCATGGTGTCCTTTCTTGTTAGCAAAATTGAACCTAAAAATCACACGTGCTTTATTTTCACACTTGGATCTTGTCCCTCTGACTTTGCAAAGCGGCATTTTGAATTATGTATGTCGGCACGATTATTACCTTTCCATTAAATGTACACTCATTTAAGCAATCAAAATGTCACCAATGACACATCAAGCTATTACTTCCGACACGCACAAATTAGTACTTCTGTGACAGACGCTTGAGTAACATTCGTGGATGGCTTTTCGTGGTTGACGAGTGAAGAGACAAGGCGCAGCTGTGGGGGAGGACACATCACGGGCTGCAGCGAACACTGCTGCCTCGCAGTCAGCGGATTCATTTCCTCACCGAACTTAGTAGCATTGCTCCACTCATCTCAAACTAGATTGCAGCCAGCACTCCAAGTGCCGATTTAATGCCTTGTCTTATTCGTAGTCAGTGCAAGCGGATGCACTTATCGCAAACAGCAAACAGCAAATAGCAAGAATTGTTCCAAGTTGAAAGGCAATGTCAGAGAGAAAGATAGGCGTCTCAGCAAAAGACCAGGTAATGTTTGGAAGAAAATGGCTTTTTTACATTGCACCAAACAAAAGGAATTCCTTGTGAATAAAAATTCCCGACACGGTATTAAATGCGTGCATTTTCGATCTGTGTTACAAGCCACGATAACGTAATGGAGGGATAACTGACACACGCTTGTTAAACGATTGCGATGCACCTTTCAAGGAGAAATTTTGCAACGATTGAGGGTTCAACGATTGTTTGAGGCGTTCATCCTTCGGTTAAGTGTGAAAATATTTGGCCGAAGGTAAATACCGGTTATCTATTCAACATGGAGGCTTTTTTAATATACGGTCACAAGCTTCTGCAAAGCCATTTATGTCTGCGCCAAAACGTGACTGCAGCGGAAACACTCATTTGCATTTCTGTAACCAAATGTCAGTTGTAGGACAGCAAAACTTTGCTGATATTTCATGTTTCTAATGCACGTAAAAAATCTTATTTAAATAGGCTAGTTTACCTATTACGAGCATAACTTATGCAGTTTTTTAAGCCAAGTTTTTAATAAAAATAAGGTAGAGGACTACGACTTTATTCTTGAAATATTGTCGTTTGTTTTCGATGACCTTTCACCATTTCTCAGCTAACGTTCGAATGCTGTCGTAAAAGAAACTTGCAGGCTTCGAGGCATAAAGTCATCCACGAATGTAATCACATTTTTTGAGCGTTTTAAACTGTTTTTCCAATAAGTTGTGCTACTGCATTGACCGCAACAAGTGGTAGTGGGATGGAGCCAAGTCGCGCAAACAGCGCGGGGTGATTGAACGTTGTCATGCAGCAGAATGACTTGCCTGGCCTGCATCCTTGCACTGTAAATGGCCTTTTCTGGTCGAGTTCTTCGCTCAGTTTGTTCTATTGTCGGCTGTAGTGCTACACAGTTACCGCCTACCTTGTTTCCAGGACTTCGTAATAAGGCACACCCTTCATGTTCACCAGATCTACTGGAAAACCTTCTTCAAGTGGATTTCCTGTTTTGGCGTCGATCTACTCATAACTTTCCATGGTTGGGATTCTCATAAAAATACCCTTTCCATCACGCGTCGCAATGATCCACAAGAAGTCCT